GTGTGAATGTGTTTCCACAGTGTATAACCAGTTATGGTTATTTTACCCGATCTGCACTAGTGTGAATGTGTTTCCACATTTACCCGATCTGCACTAGTGTGAATGTGTTTCCACATTTACCCGATCTGCACTAGTGTGAATGTGTTTCCACATTTACCCGATCTGCACTAGTGTGAATGTGTTTCCACATTTACCCGATCTGCACTAGTGTGAATGTGTTTCCACATTTACCCGATCTGCACTAGTGTGAATGTGTTTCCACAGTGTATAACCAGTTATGGTTGGTTATTTTACCCGATCTGCACTAGTGTGAATTTGTTTCCTCAGTGTATAACCAGCTATGGTGATTTTACCCGCTCTGCACTACTGTGAATGTGTTTTCATAGTGTATGATTAGAATTACAGAATTTCAGCTCTACGCGCGTATGACCAAAATTACAGAATTGAATAACCTTGCTATGTATATCGAGATTAATCGATACACGAGTATGGTTATTCCGGGTACATTTTTGGTGTGATGTTTCAGTATTACATAGCTTATCAGATTTTAGAAATGCAATATACAGAATAAAGATGTTTGTGATTACAGTATATTTTAGTTTTGATAGTATTATCAGATTTTAAATTACAGAATTTAGCTTATTCAGTTTAAAAAATAAATATTTTAGTTTATATGTCTGTGAAAACAAGTTTTATGCTATATGTCGGTTTTCAGAAAGATTTTTATGAACGTAAAAGTATACTTTTATGAAATATCCACTCACTGAGTTATAGGCTCACATTTTTATCACTATTTCTCTTATCAGATTGTAGCTGAGTTGAGCACTACTGAGCCAGTTAATCTATCGAATTGAGCCATAGATTGTCAAGCATTGTATGAATCATCTTTTCAGTTTAATAGTTCATATTTTAAGATAGACACCTCTTTTGGTCAGAAATTAGTTCCATATGTTGGGCTTACTATGTTTTGTATATATATTATGCATTTTAGGTACTATGGTTTATAAATTGTTGCAAAGGTCGAATTGCCAGTGTTGTATTTGAATAGTTGATATTCCGTGGGCCAATGTACCCTATTTTAAAATATATATATCTGTTTGGGATATTGGATTATATATTTCAGGTAGTTTTAGTCCATAATTCAGGGGGAACTTTGCCAAAATTTTTACAAAGTATATTACAGTCAAAACATGTCAAAATTGTTTTGATGGTGGGTCCGATACTTAGCTTACATTTACCATCAGCGCACAACACGTGTCGAGTCTATTAGGATGATTCGAGACGGGTCGTGTCAACTACAAACTCTCAATACTACTCCAATAGTATTTCCAATCAAATATTCAACCAGATTTCGTAGCAAACCCCAATACTAACAAAAATCAACGAATAGAACAGAAATTTCTTTTCTTTAGCGTATATAAATTCCAAACTGTGGGTGCAATTCACAATAATACACGACATAAACGAAACGTTCAAATTTCAATGGTCTTATACGGTACAAAGGAAGAAGCAAAAGAAAAAACAAAGAATATATAACAAATCATCTTTTTCCTTCATAATTTGTAAAAATAATCGGCCACCAGCGAGGCTACGTAGCTGAAATTTGCTGTCTCCTATTCAGGTGTCAACATTTTTTGCGGTACAGCTCATCTCAACTCGGGTTTCTTCATCAAAGCTTTGCCGGCTCTGCTGCCGGAGCAGGAGGGGGTGTTTCTCCAACCTTCGGTGGCTCAGCGGTTGTCGCACAGGCACCGGCCGGCCCGGCCCCCTCAGTGGCTGGTGCTTCTCCTTTCTTCTCTTCTTCCGCAACAATATCCTTCTCTTTCACCTCAGTGCCACTCGTATCTTCTCCAGTTTTCTCTGGAGTAGCCTCGGCTGCTGGTGCCGCCTCTTCTTTTTTCTCCTTCGTGACGATAAACGTAGAGACTTGCTCAAATACGAAGAAAACCGGACCTGGTAGATAAGCAGGCCCGACTTTGGAAGATGCTTCACAGACTGGTTTCGTTCCCGGAAATTCTTTCAAGAATAAGGAAAAAAACAAGTTTATTAAACATGAACAAAATATGCAGTTGCAATAATTAATTAGAATCTATCAAGTACCAATCTTAGCAAGCTCGTCAAGGAATTTTTGAACTGCTGCTGAATGCTTCTTGAGACCTGCCTCCTTGGGTTCCTTCACCAAAGTCTGCAGTAATAAATATTATTCAGAAAATTAATTATCAAGTTAATGATTTCTTTAAAAGCCCTTTAACCTTTTTAATAAAGTTGACGTTTTAATACAGAACTCGAAGTCCCCAAAGAGGGTTAACTTACCTTGATCTCAGTGGACGAAGCTTCATAGATTTCAACAACTTTTGGTTGAAGCTCAGTCTTTTTCTCTTCGAACTCTTTTGCGTATTGCTCCTGAATCCAATAATACGTTAATAAAGGAGTTATCAAGGACAAACACTAGGTATTCATTCGTAAAAACTAATAAAAGTTCCTACCTTAGCCTCATCGAAGAGCTTGCAAGCTTCAGCTGCAGCAGTCTTCTTGGGGCTGTTTTTATCGAAAACCTTCTTGATCGATGGAAGAACCTTGGATTTCCAATAATTCGCCATCTCTGATCTACTGCTATTGTTCAATTTGATCCAAAACTTTAAAACTCTACGAAGATATGCGTGCCACACACAAAAAGAAAATCACAACGTTAGTACAAGTAAAAGTTACTAGTGACAAAACATAAGAAACAACAAACATGAATGCTTAAGAAGAAGAAGAAGAAGAAACCTCTCTCTGAATCTGAATAATAATGTTGAATGCGAAAGTTGGCTTTGTGTGGTCTTCAAATAAACTCATATGTCAGCAAATTGTGTCTTGTGTATGTACTGTTATCCAAATCAAGGGAATTAATTAAAAGGGTTGGGAGGGGTAACCCAAATATCAATAAACCATAGTGTTTATCCATTATGAGGGTACAATATTTCATCAATGGTCATTGAATTTTAGTGTGAAATCTTAATTAGGTCATTATATTTTAAGTTGTCTCAATTTGATCATCGACAGAAATTGATAGTCGTAAGAAAAATAAGCTTTTCATGTAATCACTTCATGGCACGCTAAAAACGAAAATTGGGAACTTAGGAGTATTTAAACTGAACTGGGATTTATTTACCTAATTAAAAATAAATTAAAATTTAGTAATTCAATCAATATTTCATTGAAAGTTCAATTTATCCCTTTATCACATAGGCAGTTGTATGTATACTTGTTGATTATAACTTAATTAAGGTAATTTTATCGTCGCTATAGTTTTTTTTAGCTATACCACTTCTTAGTCGTATTTTAATGTTCAATATTCTATTAATTAGAACATCCCAAAAAGTCAATTAAGATAGCACAAAAAAGTTATTTACCCCCTCTCCTGTACGATGTTTAAACTAACAAAAGTCAGCATATACAAAATAATATAGCATTTGTCTCTCATTTCAAAGTACACTGATAGAGTATTTGAACAGACGGGACTAGATATATTATTTATTGAAAGATTGAAGATTAAAATTCGACAGTAAAGTGTGAGGATATAAATGCAATAATAACAAAAACATTAGTTACTTTTTATGCAATAAAAAACTAGTACAAGTAAATGACAATACAGCCACCCTTTAATTAGTCATAAAAACCATCATCCATAAGAAAAAGACATAATTACCCCTGCTATCCTTGATGGGCAATAGAAATATAAAATAATAATAATAATAATAATAATAATAATAATAATAGAAGATAGTAGCAACTACAAGCAACTGAAGCAAGACAACATGTAAAAGATTCAGTTACGTGAAGTGGTGGAGAATGATGGGGGCAGATTAGGAAATAAACATGGCAGATAACAGCTGTCAATCAGGTCATTCGGCGGTGGCAACATCACACGTGGGACCCTCTGATTTCAATACTGATCTGTAAATTCACAACTTCTCTCCCTTCCTCTCTATCTCTCGTGGCTTAGCTGTCTCTACAAGCCAACGAGCCCGCCAGTTCACATCCAAGTCATCAGCTATTCTTGTGGATTTTAGTATATTATTATTCTTTTTTTAGTATACTATTATTCTTCTTATTATTACTAGTGTGGTAAATTATGCCCTTGTTTGAGCTCCGTTTTAAGGGGAAAAATGAATTTTTAAATAGTATATTGATGTGAAATGTGTAGTTAAAAAATAAAGAAAAATTTTGAATTTACGTGTAGTATTATTTTTATTGAAGAATGTGTGGTTAAAATTATATCAAAACACTATAGAAAAATTTATTTTCTCCAAAGAATGGGGATCAAACAAGGGCTATATGTTTATTTGTACATGATCATTATACTTGTAATAATCGATTTTTCGATCCAACTAACACTTAAAGGGGATGAGCTAGTGTACAATGTAGAATTAAAATTAATAATCGATAATAAGCAACAAGTAACTAACTATTATTTTCAGATAAACAAATTTTGGATCTAACTAACACTTAGAGCCGTTAGAGGGGATAAGCAGGTGTATAATGCAAAATTAAATTAATAATCGATAATAAGCAACAAGTAACTAATTATTATTTTCAGATAAACAATTTAAATCATAATGAATCAATCAAGCATGTAGATCAAAATTAGTAAAAAGTAAAGAACATCAATATTTGTTAAAGAATGAAAACCTTTGAAGAACACTTCACAAGAGTAAAAAACCACCGGAGAAACATTGCCAAATAGATTAACTATAAAATATTTAACTTATAGTTGGTTCTGATACAACTACATCTTATGAAACTCTGACCACCCAACTTATAAATCGCCCAAGAACTTCTTAGATTGTGCTTCCAACACTTTTCAGAACTTTAGACTTTTTTTCCTTGCACATGGATCACCAAGAACGAACATTGTTCTTCTCCAACTAGAACTCCAATCACCTCTCCCAAATATCAGAACTCTGAAGGCTATTTAGTAAAGAATTTTTTTTTAATGTTTTGACTTTTTAGTATTTTGATGCTTTCATTTTGTGGTTGAGGCAAGGATCTATATATTGCATTGTTCATCTTCAATAATATGTTCTCTTGAATGAACTAAGGCTCAACCAACAATAGGTATGAAGTATGGCTTGAATTTATAATATGGAGTGTTTGGGATTGTATGTGATTTGAAAAATCTGCCAAAATCATGAACTAGGATTTTAGTATATAACACGATCGCTCCGCTTGGGCAGATATGAAGCGATTAGCAAGTTGTGAAGCTACTGTAAAAAACACTCAAGCTGTCCACATGCGATCAGCAAACACTTTTGCCTCTATCTTGATTTTCGTAAGTTGACTTTGATTTCTTCCAAAGACACTCCCAACCCCTTACAACTTAACCCTAATTATAACTCAATAAATTGGCGTTTTGAGAACGGATTTTGCCAATACATTTCGGATCTAACGAACTTCCCCTTTAATATTTTGTGACAAAACCAATTATTACAAATACACAACAAAGAAAAACCAACTCCTATCTACCCAATGACTCAATAAACAGCATCTCAATAACTTGTCTTATCTATTTCCTGAAACATGTCGAATAAAATGATACCAAGAGTAAAAGCACAAGTAAACCGATAATAAAGCACATAATTGAGTCATATTATATGACGCAAAGAAAAACATGTAACGACACATGCATCAATAACCTATAAAGTAAAAACATGACAATTGAGATAGAACATCAAAATAGAATATAACTAGCAATATCAAAATATAAAATACCAAACACAATATCAATATGACAAAACGTCACACCCTTGCTAATCAGTTCATCAATCAAGAAAATTACTCCCCCTAATTCATATACTACTAAACTTTCCTGAAATAAATAATACTATCTCTCTCTCCCTTTTTGTCATGAATAACGAACAGAAACATGAATAACCAAGGAAAGAATGCACTACTTATGCACATTGATGGAACTTGACCTATAATGAGACTGCGCAAAACATGTAATGAGTAAATGAAAATTTTTCTTTTACAAATAATACATTTTTAAACACAGCATCATGGCATGAAAACTCAAATCACATGATCCATCAAAAGTTATCTAATTACTTATGCAGGTATAATTCATGAACATTGAATTCTTCCCACATAACACATTTCAAATCTATATGAAATAAATTGTACAAGTAACCCAAGTGTTTAAAGTGCCTCTAATATTGTACAGGCAAGTCTTGAAACCATTAAGTTGTGAGAAATGGTGAGCATAATAGATTACTTGTGTGTGAATATTTCCTCAAATAATGAAAGCCAAACACGGAGCTACTAGGATCTTTTAATTAAATTAGCTTATATTTATTGTTGTAAAACTTTTCTCCATCTATTAGTGACAACATAATTTTTTTGGTTATTTTTTTATAGCTTACGTGCAGAGTTTTATTTATTAAGCTTTTTAATGACGCTTTATAGCAATACGATTCAAATCTTTTGAATCTCAATAGTGTTTTCTTTATAACATTATATTCTTGACAAATCTCATATAAATGTTCTCAGTGAAATATGATTCTTTTTAAACAATATCCTATAGAAATATGGTGTTAATCTCTTGAAAAAAGTATAACCATTTTATAGTCCCAAAAAATATTTTGTTATTTCCTAAATTAAAATATGAATCAATATTCTAAAAGAATATTGGGTTAACACTTGTGAAGGGAAAAAAAAGTGATTATATATACTATGTTAGAATAGTATTATTATTTCAGAATAAATAAAAATTCACAAAATTCAGACAACCTACACAACTGTGATAAAACTTTGATATCTCAATGTTTTGTGGTTCAATCATTGTGAAATTTGGATAGTAAATTTATAACTTCTTGTTCTTGTGGTTATAATTAAAATCTAATAGTTCATTCGTGAAAAATTTGTTACTAACATCAGCCAAATCTTGCCAGAAAATAGAAATTCATTGATCAATTATTCTAATGTTAAAATATATATTTTAGAATGCCACGTGCATAACCTATAATTCCTCTCCACAAGTTTTTTTTTTTTTTGTTAATTGATTGTTCAGTATAAGAATTACATCAAGTCTCAATTACACAAATTGCATAATTACATTAAAATTTTAGTTCATTCTTTCACCTATCATTTCCAATTGATAAACCATCATGTGTTTCTTAATTGATTATAATGTATAGATTAAATCATTATACTATAAATATTCAATTTTTGTATTCGATTTGCATGTTAAAATGTTCATAACGTAAAATATATTATTTGTACTCATTAATTAATATGTTTAATTTGTTGTTGTTCATGAAGAAATACATAGTTCTATAATTTTGAAATAATATTACCTGCTCCTGAAGAGCGTGATATTACAATTTCAATCTTTCATAAGAATTTTGATATATTACTCTAGGATAAGCATACTTTTATAGTTAAATAATACATAAGAAGAATAATTAATTGTTGTTCTAGAAAAATGCGATTCAAATATTTAAATATTATAGAAAAAAACGTTACAGAATTGTCTGAATAAATTTATACAAATCAATATTCTAAAACAATATTGTGTTGTTCTAGAAGAAACACAATACTTTTGAAGAATATTTTATTGTTCTTGAAGAACCTCAAATTTAGATATTACAATATTAAACTAATATTTCAGTAAAATATTACTTGCTCTAGAATAAAGAATTTTACCGAATTTAGTATATTTCATGATTTGAAAATTTTTATAGATATGGCCACAATTAGATGGGATTCAAATTCAATTTTTTAATTGATTTTGATAAAAGTTGATGAAATGTGTAATTAAAAAGTTGTAAATATCATAAAATATGTGGTTAAAATTAGTTGTTGACTTTAACTTAAATTAAAATACGAATTTTAATTTCTACCAAACAAGGCTTGGTAATAT